CGCGACTACCGTAAATTATGCAGTTTTCTGTATTCAGTCTGGCTGAAGTGATCAGCATACCTGGGGTGTAAGGGATAACTCCCTGTCATGGGTTAACCCCAGCCAGCAAATAAACCCCACGCAGCCGCTTGCTCACCCCCTGCCTCCGGTAGGATGGGAGAGAGAATCGGGAGGGCACAAATAGAAATACTCGCAGGTTGAGATAAAAACAGTTTAATAATGGAAATAAAATGAAGTAGAACAACAATAACAACAATGAGAACAACAACAATAATAGAATATACAAAGCAGGCAATGCACAATGCAACTGCTCACCAACCGCTGACCGCGTGTCGCAAACGGGGGGGCGAGGCCTCCCTCCCCCTAGTTTTTATACTGAGCATGAGACGTCACATGGTATCGAATACCCCCCCAGCTACCGCCCCGGCTATGCTCCCCCTCCCCAGCTTCCCCTGCACTTGGCAGAGCATGGGGGGGCCGAAAAAGTCACCGGTGCAAGCACCACCCAGCAACAACCAAAGCATCAATGGGGCCATCAACACTCCTCTCATACCAAACCCAAAACACAGCACACACACCCCAGCTACTGGGAAGAAAGTTAACTCTGTCCCAGCCGCAACCAGGACAGTGACGTCCTGGGTGTTATCTCCTCAAGGCAGAGGGAGCAAACCCCATAGTGCCAGTCTGCATGTACACACAGAGGATGAAAGGGGTTCACACCCCAGCCCCTCTGTTGGTGGCCAGTACAAACCCTGTTTGCTCAAGGTTTGATGCAGTCAGGGAGAAGTGAAGGTTTCTTGTAATTAACACAACCTATAAATTGCATTAGGAAATTCTGTATCATTTAAAATCTGAACCTGATAAAATACTGCTTTGTGTCAAGAACAAAAAAAATCATCAGCTGGGGTCATGGTAACAAGCCTGCAGTGAAAGAAGGGAAGAGAGAAGTATTTTCTAGTATTTACTGAACCAGCCACTTTTTTTTTCCCTTAAGAACACTTTGCTGCACCAGCTTGTCATTGCCCCTTATTTGGCGTGCTGAGTCACTGGCTATCTTCATCTTCTATTAAAATCAAACAAATGGCCCCCATGGAAGGACAGCAGTGCATACCTTTGTGCCTGGAGGAGGAGCAAGACCCAGAAATGAATAAATAATATTTTCTTCTTTAGCAGAGAAAAAGGATTCAAAATCCTAAAAAAGGAACAAACAAACAACAGAGAATTGGTAACAAAAATCAAACAAAAAGCACAGGAGGAAGAGACTAGCCCAGGCAAGTCTTTCTCATATTGATGCGAATGACTATGCATTTGTACAAGCGCCTGCATTATCTAAGCCCCAGGAAGAAAACTCAGATAAAGGGAGTTTCACACTGGCTGGCAAAATGAACAAATGCGCAAATCTCTCCAGAGACTTACACTTTAATTATCACATCTATGTCAGAATGAGATAAAATTAAACATCTCATTTTAATGTGCTTCAGCTGTATACACCAAAGCAAAGTTATTCCCATTTAAATGTTAAAGTAAAACTTGCTGTAAGTAAGAACACAAAATAGGCCCTCAAAACCCTGGACAGTTTTATGGCAAGTAAAAGGCAACAGTCACCATAATAGCACAAGTAAAATGATAATGAGGAAACTGTTTATTTTAAAGAAAAGCACTCTAGTTAGAAAATGCAGTTACTTTTCAGACAAACTTAGCAAAGGACTGTGTTGTTCTCTCCGACATATATGCACCAGCCAAAATGTTTTGTCCACATGTGAACTGAAGTTATAAATCATTGTGTTAAATGCCCGTTTTCTCTTCAGTGCTAATATAACTGAAAAGACGTGAGGGATGGCTCCTATCCTACCATCTAGAACTTGCATGGTCTTTACTGTATTCACCTGTAAAACTTTCCTATCAATTAAGGAAGCTCTGCTACCACTAGTTTGTTACTGGGAAGTTCATGACTCACATCTTACACAGGTAAAAATCAACATGTATTTAAGATCTCAGCAGAAACTCTGGTCATAAGTGACCGGCCCACAATCACACAGCAGCTCTGTGTAGGACAGGGAACTGAACGCATGTCTGCTGAGCCCTAGACTACTGCTTTGACCATGTTATCATCCTCCCTCTCATCCCGAATAACTCCGAAAATAGAAGCCTGTAAATAGTAAGGCACTGACCCATCCTTGAGACTTGTTTGTAAAGCTGGGTTAGGACCTGAGTTGTTTTATTGGGCTGTTTCAGTACTTCCAGAGAATAAATTCTTGGTCAAGGGTAATCCCAGGGAAAGGCTGGAGTGGATGGTTTAGAAGTCACCTTAATGTCAACAAGACTGGAATCAATGACATTTCAGTCCAGTTTGGAAGAGGCAACATAGCTTAACAGACAGGATAAATGACAGCCCATTTCACTGATTTATCTAAGGGACAGAATAGCTTTCACACAGACCTAGCTACAGGCAGTGGGAGCTGCCCAGTCTGGGAGAAGCCCCAGAGCACATTTTGCCCTGACCAGGCAGAATACCTGCTGCTGCTCCAGGCCACCAACTTCTCAAACTATCTCTTTGCTGTTTCATGTTGCTGTGGGGTTCTCCTTCTTATCTAACCCAGGTCTGCCCTAAGTATTTAAGAAAGGCAGTGTCTGAAGTCTAACCCATAATCTTAGGAGCAATACAGCAAACACGAGCAGCAGGATTTTCTGCAATTCGAAGGGTTGGAATTTGACATGGGCCTTTGACAGGCCATACTAACACAAGAAACTTGTGTCCTCCTGCAAACCACATACTCATAAAACAGTCTAAGCAAACTATGGCACAACATGTCAATAGCTGGGAAACAAAGAGAAGACTATTACAAGGAAGGGCCATGAAGTGGACTTGGTATTTTATATATCTTGTTAGTTCCTCCACAGAGGAAAGGCAGCAGATGGCAAGTGTACTAAAAATCTCTAGAGACACGTAGCCTTGTAGATAACCAGACCTGAAAAGCACAAGCAAGGCGTATGAATGACCAGATGAACGCCTTATCAGAAGAGGATACAACCTTCTATCAAATCAGGCACTCCTTGGCAACTGGTAGTGTACAATGACATCCCACAGTAAATGTGGTATCTCACAGTAAATGGAAGGTCACTTACCTTGCTTACACTGAGGAGTAAGCTATTAGGTATTTAGCATGGGGTAAAAGCATGACTAGAGTGATCATGGAATAGTTTTTGTATTGTATATTTGCACTCTTACTTTTCCTAATGGTGACTTGTTCACATCTCCATTCACTGAATGACCAAAGATAATTGTTCCCAAGGCAGGCAGAAAGAAAAATGAGCAGTAACAATTCATTTCAGGTAAGCAATAATATTATATCTGTATGAGAAGACATAAATGGTCTAGGAGGAGGGTAGTGGTGTAATTTGTCTTTGGAACTAGTCTTTGAAAAATACAGTGAGATGTATTTAAAAAAAAAATACTCCATGAGTTTTTCTTTATTATATGAGTGCATATGCACATATACACTCTATGCTATCAACCTTTGTATAAGCACTGTGAAAATGCCAGACAGCAAAACAGCAAACTCCAGTTGGACATCAGCAGAAAGTTCTTCCCCACGTGAGTGGTACAGCACCAGGTCAGAGCACACAGAGAGGGCATGGAAATGCCATCCTTGGAGACTTTTGAAACTCAAGTGGCCAAGGCCCCAAGCAACAAAAGCTAACTTTAAAGCTATCCCTGCTTTGAGCAGCAGGCTGGACTACAGACCTCCAATGGTCCCTACGATTTACGTATATTTGACTTTAGCAGTTATATGAAGCATCAAAATAAAAGTCTTACCTAATAATTCAGAGCTTCTTCAAAAAAAAAAAAAGTACATGGGTATTTTATTCTATGGATTTCAGTTTACCGAGAAAAGCATAGATTTTAGCTTACAGAGAAAACCAGAAGTTTACATTCCATTTCCTTCCTAGTTTTCTAGGGGTTTTTTGTTAAGCAAAAGCGAAAACAAAAGCAACAGAGAGCTCAATATATTTAGAAAACGACACAGATGCAGACGTCTGTCTAGACATGAGCAAAAAAGCAGCTTAAGAAAAAGATCAAATAAGAACATGATTGCCAACACTGATGGATTAGAATGGATACTTGAAATTCGTGCTATAGCCAGGCATACAAAATGAATCAATTTCTTATCTGTTTCTTCAAGTGGCAATACCAAAGATCTGAAAGAAAAATAAGATTCAAGCTATTTATAAGACAGCCTTAAGCTTCTCTGGCCTCGCGGAAAAGCTGCTCACAGTTGGTGTATTTTCATAAACGCATCCATAAGAAACCTCTATTTTACAGTACAAGTTAGGAAGTGAAGCAGCTCTTCGGGGCCAGCCAGAAGATGCAGATACTTTTATGTATCAGCAGAAAAGCAGATTAGCAACAGGACTGCATTTACTTGCTCATTATGTCAGTCTGTTCCAGCACGAAAAGGAAGCCTCTTCACGTCCCCAGTACCCCCTCTTTCCTTACCCCCACCCCCAAAATTTCACTGAACTGCAGAAGAGGGGATTGGAGAAGATCTCAAAGGACCATTTCTCCAAGGCAAGAACCACTACATTACTCCCGATAGGTGTTTCTCCAATCCGTTGGTAATGACCTTTAATGAGAAAATGAGACAATCTCCTGAACACTACATATTTTTTTCTGATGTCTGACTTAAAACTTCCTTTGCTGCATTTTTTGCTCACTACATCTTGCCCCACCCCCACTGGGTGTGGAGCAGAACATATTTTGCAAAATCCTAGAACCACAGGATAATTCAGGTGGTAAGAGACCTCAGGAGACCATCTAGTCCAACCTCCTGCTCAAAGCAGGGTCAATACTGAATTCAGACCAATAATGAATTCCTCTTTGCTGCAGCCCTTAAAATATTTGAAGATTGTCATGTGTCTCTCCAAATCCCTCTTTCTCAGTGTGAGGAAGGAAACATTTTATCTTGAATTTTCACCTCCCCAGGGCCAGTGCTCCCAGGCCAGCATGCTGCTAATGTGTATACACATGCACATGTGTGAATGGGAACCAAACGTACAGGACAATCGATAGGAAGGGAAGTGAGGGAAAAGAGTGATCTCAGAAAGGAGAATGAGCAGAAATGAAATGTAACAAGTTTGACCTAAAACCAAAGGACTACCTGGGAATGAAGAAAGAAAAAAATTAGTAGGAAGGAGAAAGAGAAAAATAAAATGTCTTAAAAAAGAGAGGTGTAAAGAGCTTGACTTGTTTAACATAGCAAAATGAAGATTAAAAGAGGATATGATTCCCATTTACAAACACATTGGACTAGAGCTCTTTAAGCTAAAGGGTGATTTTGGTATACCAGGAAATGGGTATAAACTGGCTGCATATACCCAGGCTACAAATTCGAAGATTTCTAGATGCCATGAGACTGAAGCCCTTGAAGACTGTACTAACAAGAGCAACATATTTTAAAGGGATTTTCATGAATTCAGGGTACTGGCCTGGAGTCCATGACTCAGACAGACCTCTGCAATTCTCAGCCCTGTTTTTAATAAAGTGGCTGAGGACAAAGGAAGTGGGACACAGGAAAAGAGTTAAGATATATCATGTAAACCTTAAACAGCATAAAGCAGTTCTGGATTTCAGAACGATGGGTCTGTTGGACCTGCACAGGTTATGCAGGGAAGTAGAATGCAAATCCCCAGATTTATATTGTAGACATGTTGCAGAAGACATCGTGTCACTTGGAGGAATTTTGCAACAGTCTGCCAGCCCCTGGCCATGTTCTCAACCAGCCCACATAATCCCACTTCACAGTCACTATGCAGCTCCCTTAAGGCACCTTCCCCTGAGGAGAAGGGTAAGGCTTATATATTGATATAGATCTCCTTACCTTATTTATTTGGAAATAATGATGCCATAAATTAATCTTTTAATCTTAATGACCCACTGGGATCATTAGCTATGAGCTTTGAGAGCCGGGTAGATTAGAATTCTGGAGACTTTTAGACTAATTGTAAATTTGATTTAGTTTTTAAATCAGTAGCTGCAACTGCTTTCTGGACCCATTTCCACATGGAAATTTATTTCAAGATGTAGATTATTTGGCTTCCTGAAATAGCTTCAGACATGGAGCAAAAACTGTATATTTATCATTTACTGGCAAGACTGACCAGCTGCAACACTTTGTAAGGCAATTACTCTTTAATTCACTATATAACCTCTCCAGGGAATATCAGAAATATTTATTGCAACATTGGCTGCCACAAAACCCAGAGTAATCATACTTTTTATTGGGGCAGATTGGATGTTGAAATGCACATGAACTCTAACCTACCAAGTTCTCTTTTAAGATTCCTATAAGAAAATGAGGAAACAATTGCACTCCTTTACTCATACTAGCAACTTTTACTCTGAGAGCACTGAAGTTAATTCTGAAAACTTAGTGGCATGTAAATCCCTTCTCTCTCAAAAGAACCTTTGCAGTAGTTCACACTGGATTTGTGGAGTAACTTAAAACTGGGCTCACTATGTGATCTGCGTTTCAGAGTACTTTGCAAGTTCATTTCAGCGGTCATATCAGAGTACTTTCCAGACTATGTATTTCCATCCACACTATGAGAAAAAAACTGTCTCAGATATCTCTTTTGATTCACGATCCTAATATTCATGCTCATACAGTATTATCGACCACTGATTTGAACAAATTCTCTCAAGAGAAATAACCTGTTACAAGCATATATGAAAATATAAAAGCATCTGACGAGTGTTACAATTTCTGTTATGAAGAGCTGGATATTTATTGAATAAGCAATATAATTTCAGTAATTCAAACCACATACTAGAACTATTCCAGTCAACTATAATTCCTATTTATTTTTATAATATAATGGAAAAGAAAGATTCCTGTTCATGGCCCCTGGTGCCTCAGACATCTACTTGACTTCCTAGCAGCCCAGATGAGTCTGTGTCAACAAACAAAATATCAAGACTTATCATGCAAAATTAACTGAAAGTTCAAGAAGCAAAGTGCAATATAACTAGAGAGAGCAGATCAGCCTTGCTGTGAACCCCACCAGTCTTGAGTAGCTCGGTATTGTCAAACCACATAATCGAGCATTTACTACTCCAAGTGCAGCTGACCTGTCTTCATAGTCTACATCAGGTTATCCTGAGATATTCCGTGAAGAAGCCAGAGTATCACCTAGACAGTACTGCCTTTGGTCTTCAGGAGCTGAAGTGAGAGTGCAGGCAGAGAGCCAACAGCAGGACAACTTGTAAGTGATCTACAGAGCAGGAGGTAGGAGAATGTGAGAGGAAAACACAGAGCTCCTCACAGGCAGCAAACTCCACACCTTGCAGTGAGCCCTGGGTCCTGCCTAGGCTCTGGATCTGCAGGGGATAATCCATACAGCCTGTTAAGCAGAGTTTCTCTAGTCAGTTTTCCCTCCATGTGTATTTTTCTCTTAAAAAGGAATAATCTTTTGTTTCATTGCCTTTCTGTGCATAAAAAATGCTTTCTAAGAATTGTTCTTCCAAAGTGAATCTCAAATTATTTTAAGGATTTTGTTTGACGAGACTTCCTACTAATAGAAAAGGGTCACTTTCTGTCAAAGAAGACTCTCTGAAGGTATTTAAATTTCCAAACAGCTTCTTACCCCACAATACCGCTCCTCATTGAAGATCTGTGGAGGGAGGGGAATTCCATTTTGAGGCTTTTTTTCACCTGGGACATTCTCTCTCATCCATTTCCTGTTGTCTTCATCACCTGCTATGTCCATTTGCTGAAAGTCAATCTTGTTGGCCTCTAAAAAGCCCACTACTTCTTGCTGTTTCTTTTTGATCTGGTTAGAAAATAGGAAAAACAAAATTCCTTTTATAAAATGAAAATTCTTTTCTAAAAGCAATTGCTATTACAAGCAGAACTAATGCAAGTATGACAACTTGGATCCACTACTCCAGTAGCCCCCAAAATTTTTGAAGCTGAGATTCAACACTGCTTCTCAGCACCTGCTGCCATTACTTTCCCCACACACACTCCCAGCTTCTTTCTTTCCTCCCTGGAAGCAGTGATACCTTTGTCTAAGAAACAAGGCTCAACCCAGATCTGTGAGTGTGGTGTACAGATACCTAAGCTAATCCTTCCTAAAGTCAGCACAGGTCTGAGAATGTACATATTCTCCCCAACATGTAACAGTCTCCTTTTTCCTACTCATGACATATGACATTTAGCTTTCCATGAGCCACATCTTTCTCTCTGTTCCTGTTCTTTAATGCTAGGCATAACTAAGTATGAATGAAAGTTTGATGAAGATCCAGTACAGCTTAACTCCTCTGCTTGAATATTTCCCACATTACAGAATGATGTTCCAGTTGGACCAAGAAGAACATATTACAACAAATAAAGCATGCTATACACAGCTTCTGTGCCAGATAAAATTCAGTCATGGCCCTTATTCCCTTTGATGCTAGTACTGTATACACCTAGGATGCAGGCATCAGCCTTGTAACTTCTCCCTTTACTTTGAAGAAGTAATACTGACTATACTTCTCTACCAAAGGAATGCTACTCCTAAGCAACATGTAAAGAACTTCCCCATTTTGTGTATGTCTAACTTTTCTAAGAGCTGTGAGGCCAAACTTTAGCCCTACAAGTACTGCAGCATTTGAAGCAAGCACTGTTTGGACTGACCTGTACAAATTCTCTCACGCTGCTCTTCGGTCACAGACAACTAAATTACTATCTAGCACAATCACGTTACAGACATGACTCTCTTCTCCTCCCAGTTATGCTACTCCATGCAGCAAGTTATTGTCCTATATAGACAGTAGCTAGAATGATGTATCAAAGTAATTTTTACATACGAGCCACCACATGATTCAAAACCATGTCTTCCACAAGTCAGACATCTGAACAACTGAATTTAAAGTGACACCAAGCTAGTGTAAATCAGTCTGAGACAGAAAATGAGACGAGAAATAATTAATGGATTGTGTATTTCTCTAATCTAATAAACCTGAAAAGCTGAAGTAGAGTGATGGCCTATTATATTGGAAGAATGAATTTTCATGATTAAGGATAAAATTTCTTTTTCTTGTTTAAATAAGGAATTATCTATCTATACAGCTATGCCTGCTTCTAAAAAATAACAAACATAAAATGCTGTACATTTTTATGACAACAACAGAGGTTTATGGTGAGCTAAAAAGAGTAGCTCACTTTGAATGGAAACACTATTCCAAAGTGTTCAAAAGCCATGCAGTTGACAGACCTCAAAGGTGCTTATTTATATTCTTATTTCACTTTTTAAACAGAGGTCATTTTTCTTGATTGCTATTTAGCTGCACGGTTATTTGCAGAACACATTCAGGTGGCAGAAAGGATTGCTTGAGAGACATTTCATTGGAGGAAGTGGCAGGTTCATGTTTGTATAAATGGTTAATAAAATCTGCATGAGCCAGTACTAAGAGTTTCACCACATGCTGTGAAAGCCAGTGTACTCAAGTGCTGTCAGCTGCAATTTCAGCGTCAGCTTGTCTCTTTGGACAGAGGCACTGAAGTAGATATGGCTCCTGGAATAGCTAGTGCCCCAGACGGATAGTGCCTCTGAGGAGATAATGGAAACTGAGCTATAGATTCTGTGCTCCCTTGCTTATGGCTGTAGCTATAACTTTTAGAATTAAATCTGCATAAACAATTTTCCTTCAGCTTGAGGCTTATAATACACAGGAGGCTCAGAGAGCACCAGGACTGAAAGCAAAAATTAGGAGAGGGTTGTGTGAAAAACGAATGCTGAGGAAAAATAAAAAGTTACATACAATTATGCCTGCATAAGGAAAAAGCAAGATGTTTCTCATTATGATAACAACAATAAGCTATGCAGAAGATGTACTATGTCTTAAGGCTTACAATTACAAGGTTTAGGCAGAGCAAAAGACTTAGGACATGCACTAAGTATGAAACCATAAAGCAAGCCTCTGCTGTGGCTGGCACTAGGTAGCTGGGACACCAAAAGAATCTCTCCAGCAAACACCACTCAGAGAGGGAAATCTTCCAGGACGTAACAACACAGAGGACATGCAAAGGTTTTCCCAGAATGGATAAGATTGCAGGAGCTTGTTTGTACCCTCACTTGTGTCTGATGGATAGCATGGGAAGAATTCAGATTACTTGGGCATAGATTCCCTGGAAAGTGGTGGTGAGCAGGATATTATTTCATCAATGTCATTTTCCCTTTCAACAAAGCTTAAGTTCCACCATCCCTAGCTGCTAGTCCCTTAAAATAAGAAAAAAATGTTTTAAATAAATATTATCTAGCTAGAGTGTAAGAGCTACAGATAATATTAATTTCACCTGACGCGTAATTAAATATTATCATCTATATCCTCACAATCCAAAGCATTAATGTTGACCAGCTGCCTATGGCAGAAGCAAATGGTACATAGTCAACAACTTACAGCAAGAGGAACATTAATGTTGGTAGGCAGAGTTGCTGAAGCTGCTGGTTCTAACACCACATGGACAACCTATTCCTGATAATTATTCTTATTTATCACACTCTAATCTCTGATTTTACTTGAAACCAATTTGAAATTTGAGCTCAAGTTTATATATGGCTAGATTCACAGTCACAGATGACAAACCCCTACCCTGTATTTTAGAGGACGTAATTCAAATAGTCTACATTTTCCTCAGTCTTTCTGAGACCTACATATTTGAAGATGGGCAAGTTCATAAAATGTCACCAAAAACGCTGGGAATAAAAGGATTTTAGAGGTGCCCTAACCATGAGCAGCAGTAAGCAAGACTTTGGAAGACTTCCTCTGTGTAAGACACAAACCCCCTTTCTGCCGTGATTCATGGTACCTTAGAACCTTGCAGGATGTTATCCATTTCTAAACACCTCTGTGGCTAGTAACAAAATTATTTTATTTTTTTACTGCTTGCTTCAAGCCAAGCATTTAGTACTTTTTAGCGCTATAAATGTCTCCACTTCTGCTTGCCTTAATGAATAGTTCAATATCAGGTAAGTTTGGAGCAGAAAGATAATAAAGCTGAAGTTATTTAAACTAAATTTCTGAATCATTGAGGGGAAAAATACAGACTGCAGATTTGCTTTAGAGCCACAGTGAATTACATCATTCAAGCATCTGATCCAGAGCACCAGAATGTTACTGGGTTCACTGCATTCACTTTTAAAAAGTATTTATTATCATGATAATCAGTTGCAATTAGTAGTGTGACTGTGTAGCACATAGAATAGAAACATTTTTCATTCTTTACCAATGATCCTCTGCTGATTTACACCAGAGGAGGCTGGGCCCATCTTATTTTGAAATTCAAAATGAACTACATGGATTTGATGGAGATCAGCCACATGGAAGACAGCACCAGTGCTACTAGGACAATTTAGACTTCCAATTTAAGCACTTCAGGGATTAAATTCATTCTTCTCAGGAAAAGCTGTACAAGGCTGATACAAAATTTGGTTTTAATAGGATTTTAGTGATATATTGGGGTTTGTGCTGCCTCCTTGCATGAGTGAGTTTTATTTTATATATACCAAAACTCATTAAAGGTTCATTGAAAGGATACCTTCCATCCATTTTAATCAGTAAATGTGGAAAACTACTCCAGCTGAACATTGTGTTTACTTGCCATTGCAATTATGTATCAGTAATCTGAACACATGCTGCCTTCTGAGAATGCTACAGCTATATGTACACCCAACACAACGGAAAGGAGGAAATACAGAGGCATATTGCCATGTAAAGATGCCATACCCTTCCTTCCAGCATATGTCTGGGATCTCACTAACAGCTTTTGTGGGCTGCTAACATACAGTGGAGATTGGCATTAATAAGCTTAAAACCTATTACAGTTCACTGGCATTGGCTATCTTTCTTAGCGGTAATAAACCACGGTAGCAATGCTTAACAGCTCAAAATGGCTGGATAAAGCTTGCATGTTGCTCAGTGTTCAGTGTAACATACGCACCCCTTCACTGCAGTCCAAGAGGAAAGGAGTTAGTTATAGCTGCTAGGTGGGAGAAGATACAAGGAATGTGTATAGCAGAGGAAAGATCTTAGTTCAGCTAGTGCTAAATATGTGATACGCTTAGTTTTAATTGGCTAAGTGATCTCTGAATGTCAGTGTTTAATCAAAGCACTCATACAACTAACTGCCTTGCTGAACTACAGCCCCAATCCTATAGCTGGAGTGGCACACACAAGGCACACAAGATGGTGATGGCCCCAACACACTCATACTGAATGTCTGCAATGGGATTTCAGTCGTGGTCACAACTTTCCCCAGAAAATGGATGAGTGGCAAAGGAAGTAGGGACGGCTCTGGTCAACCAAAGGAGACCAAACCAGGAGACCAAACAGGAGCGAAAAGACTGCCAATGCACAGCGTATGGCAATTTATAAAGCTACTTGAACATTAACTGCTAGATTACAAATTACCAAACCTGCAGTTTCCAACCCCCTCTTCTTTTTTTCCCTTGCATTGGAGGTTTCTTATAGAAAAAGGAATGCTAAAATGTCAATAGTAGAGTGTCAGGCTTAGCGATAGGCTGGCGAGACAAGCTGATAAGAGAACTGCAAACATCCTCAGCCGTATCCCAATTTGGATTTTAGTGAATGACCCACGGTTCATTTTCTAGAGATGATGGCCCCGTGAGCAAGGGGTGTTTTTTGGAGCTTTTCAACTCTGGAAGCTTCTTAAAGACACAGAGCTGGTGTCAGAGAGACAGAGATGTAGTTACAGCTATGTGCAAGCACCAGCCAGTTTGTTTAGCCATGTCACTGGGAGTGAGTGACTGCCAAAGGAAAACTGCAATCTGAGCTCATCTGGGAACTGGATATAAAAGGAAACAGTCCTTTCCCAGTTCCCACCTCCCACGGACTTCCAACCTCCCTACTATTCACATGCCCTTCCCTTTAGCTGATACACTATGCTGACAGCTACAGCAGTAGATCTCAATACTAAAAATCATCAGTATAGCATTTCAAGACACACACACACACAAAAAAGAAGAAAACCAAAAAAAACACCCAAAACCTAGGGAAAGGGAGGGGGATGGGGAAGAACTTTTTTCTGCATAACTTTTTATTCAGCTTACTTTGGCTCCAGGCTCTTTCTTAGACAGAGTTTCCCTTTTGCAGGAGCAGTGTCCTAAAGTCTCTTTTAAAAATAGATACATTAATTTCTAGTGTAAACAATCTACCTTAGCTTTTGTGCAAATACAATATCCACTTTTTCCTTCTTATATATATGCATATGTATTGCATATACTTTTTGCAATATATGTATAAATATATATTGCATATACTTTTTCAAACAGAAGTAAATCTATTAAATGACAGATAATTTATATGTAAATGTTATACCTGTGGTAAAACCTCACGTGCAAGCAAGCCTGCGTTAACAGAAATTCTCTACGTCTTCTGCAGCTTTCAAGAATAAGGTGCGCAATACAGACTAGAAGAAATCCAGTGTTTTCTTCTCCACGCAAACTCAGGTTGTCCTGGGATCTTCTAGGCTAATTTACCAACCAGATCCCAGCAGAAAGAGTAGTATGTTAAATGAGATACCTACCGCTGTAGACCCCGAAGATGTGGCTACAAAGACTTTGATCACCATGTTGACAGTGATGAAAATGAATCAGTAGAGCACGCCTGCTTTCCACAAGTCACCACAGTCCCAAGAGGAATCCAAGCCTTCGGCAGCTCCTGGGCTAACCTGGGTCCTAAATGGTGCTCCCCCCCAGCAATCCAGCAGCTTTGGCCTCTCCCTCTCTCTGGGGTCCCGCGTTTTCCCACTCCATTGGCTCTTAGGTATTTTGGGAAGAGGGGCCAGTAGAGGATTGGTTAGTAAGAGGAGCCATAGCAAGGGGTTTGCACCTGCCCCTGGCCTAATTGCATTAGATTGACAGGGTGGCAGTCCAAAAAAGGCAAAGGAGAGTAGTGCACCAATGAGACAGGGCTGGAGAAATATTTGGGAGAGGGGGAAGGGACAAGTGAGAAGGGAGAAGGGACAGGGAGCAGGCAGCTTAGCACTGGGGGCGATCACAAAGCTGTCGGGTAATGTTTAATGTTGCATGGGCACTGTCACAGCTACCTCCTGCGTAAAAGGGCTTGTACCCTCTCCCTGACTACAACAAGGACACTTCAGAGTTGTAGCTCCAAATTTTACATTATAAAAGGGGAAGGAGGAAGGGGAGGGCAAGGGGAGCATAGATGCAGAAGTAATTATAGCAGAGATCATATTGAAATAAGCCTCAGTTACAAATGCTCTCAGCTTTAAAGAATTCAGATCATCATCCACACTGCAGGGCTCAGGGACTTCTCTGAAATAAATATGTGTCAGTACATTTCCGAATACTGAGGAAGGTGATTTGGCTGATTCTATGCATCCAGGATTTATTATTGTATTTTTTCCTTCTTTTTGCATCACCAGTGAAAACTGCCAGGGCACAAGGTGTAAGAGGAGGTCCAGAATACTTGGTAAAAAATATTCCATTCTACTGTGTTATCCAGGATGCTTTTTCCTCCTGGTTGTCGCCTTCTACCACAGAGATGGTCACAATTCAGTGGCTGCCTGCACGTATTTGCTTAAGGAGGTCTCTGAGCATGAGAGGTATTTTAAGAATGTTAAATGGTAACAGATTACTTTCAAATTTTAAGGGCCAAGTTTGTTTCTGCTGTAAGTGAGCAACATGCCACTGAGCTCAGTAAAGCTGACCCAATGTCAGAGGTGAAACTGGCCTAGGTTTTAGAAAGTGCTTACAGACATTTCAAATGTTAAGATTGAATATAGCAGTGTACAATCCTGAAAATACTTGAAATGGAATATAATACTTTCTTTCCAGGATTGATAAGGTAGGACCAAATGCACAATAGTAAAGACGCTCTTGAAAGTAAGTTTTTTGTCTGTGCGAACCATTATGTGAAGCTGGAAATGCAGAATTCCATGAATGGAGTAGGGATCCTGAAAAACCTCACTGAAAACTAAAAATAACAGTATGGATAGCTTGCATTGTTTATTGTGGCTCACCATCTGTCATTTCTTTCTTCTTTTGAGAGGCAATAGGAGTAATTCTAACAGGTCCAGCCTGTTAGAATCGGGTATTTCAGAGTATTTTCCTGTAAAACAAATAAAAAAACACCTTAATGCAAAAACATAAATTATTGCCAGAAGTTATTACACATGCTTGTTTCTCAGAAAATTTTGTATGTAAGTATAGCCTAGTAAACGACTGGCCATCTGGAACATAACATTTCCAAATTAATTTATTTGGTTACTAGTGCTCTGAATAAGTACAAACAAAGGATGCAGTGGTCATTGGCTTCAAAGCATACTGATAAGCCTTGCAAGTATAGTGATACTAGTAATTAATACTCAAAGCGGTAAATATTTGCACCATCAAACATCCACGGCCAGGACTGGGACAAAATTGCCTGTTCTACTTTACACCTGAAATGCCCACTGGACTACACAGAGAGAAAACAGGATGGGGCCCAAAGCCTGTGCCCACCTAGGGCTTGGCAGGTGAGGACTTGGGCACGATGCCCATTGTGTCCAGCCTTGAAGAAAAATACTCCAGCCGCTTTCATTCCTATGGGATTTTTCCCCTTTTTCAGCATAAAAAAATCTTTTGTAAACCCGAACCGTGAGTTTGGAGCCTGTTGGGTTCGGGCTGTGCGCTCTCAGGCCGCGCACCACGCCACGCCACACGACATGACGCGACGTGAGGTGCCTCCACGGCCACCATGAGGCTCCACGGCCCATAGCTCATGGTGCAGAGGGACCCGCTGCCTGCACACCACCTTGTCAAATTCCCATTAAGACCCTGGTGGGGTACAGAAATAAGAGGGTGGAAA